TTATCTTCTTAAAAAAAATTTAATGTGTCATCTTATCTAAAATTTACATTAAGTTAAATTATTTTCAAATCATGAATAATAGTAGTATTACTTATTTTTAAAGCACAAAAGGCTCCAATATGATTCATTGAAAAATAAACAACACTCAAGGATCTCAAAATTTAGACATCTTTTTGCAAAAAATAAGGATTTTTTTTATAAAAAAAGTAACATTATGTATTATTTATAAATAATATGAATTGCTATTAATTTTAAACATTATACATAAATAGAAATATGACTAATTTTAGATTTGAGCTTGAAAGCATGCACGATCATAGCTTACTTTGGCTGAAACAGATGCTCTTTTAAAAAAAATATATCTATGCATCAAGATTGTTAAACTCACAAGTAGAGGACAATGATATAAACTCATTGTAAATTTGTCTTAGTTTATTAGCTTATTTTTATCAATAAACAGTTATTAAAACTATACAATTAAATGATTAAAACACAAAAAAAAAATCTCAACTAATTGAGGTCAACTAGGATCTATGATAAATATGAATATAAAGTTATTGCTTATATTGTCGCTTCCATTCTTTTTTTTTTTTTTTTTGCCATCATATAGTTGGTATATTGGTCGTGCGCATGTGCATAGCTTTGGACTCGTCAGTTTTTTTACGGACAATAGATGTGAAAAAGTACAATCATTTCGATATCTTCCATATACGATGTCCCACAATTCAAATGAAAACGAAGGTGACACAAATAAAATTATACTCGTATTACCTAATATCAAATTATTAATTAGTATGTGTGCCCCCAGCAATTATAGAAGTTGTGATTCTTAACTTCGACAAATAGCATCTTTTTTCAAAAAATATATATAATCAAATTTCTGTTTGAAAAAACAGTTGTAATGGAGAAGTAATTGTGAAAAAAATAATTTAAAATAATTTAAAATGTAGCAGAGACGCTTGAATGGCCATGTAAAAGTTACCCTATATAGATGGAGACACTTAATTATAGCTTAGGAACCTAAAATAAGCAATGCTGATTAGGCCTACTTGAATTTCCACCCATACTCTATGCTTGCTATCAGAAAATCAATTTATTAATATGCGTGTAACCCATCATCATGCCACGTGGGGGATCTGACTTCGGAGTTGGAACCATTGAATTGTAGCGGGATGAGCCTTTTGCTTGTTGACTTTATATGAATAGTGAGAAAATGAAATGAGTAAATAAATTAATAGTAAACACTCCCAAGATCCTTATTAGGATGACTTACAGATTCAACTTACCCAATATGAAGGACTTTGATTTCTACAACCAACATTACCATCATTTTTCTAGTTCCATTATGCATATGAAATCTATCATTCTGATCCAGACAACTTTGATTCTGAACATTGCATGAATTTGTCTCCAAATCATATACACATTCACAAGGACTAGAGATAAGGATGACCTACCATGAATCTACTTTAAGTGACTCATGTATCTTTATGTCACTTGTCTACTTTAAATTTGTTTTAAGTTAAAGAGTGCTTGTCCTATTTTAATAATTAAAAGCATCTTTACCTTTATGTCATGTGTCTGTCTAGAATCTTTACTCTAATGTTTGTAACAATAATTTTAGTCTATTTGTCGTATTGTAATCCAAAAGTCTATAAGAACTAAGCTCTACCAAGTGATAGGGGCAAAAGGAGTTATATGAACTCTCCAAGTGTGTTTTCATGAATTCTCTCCAAGTCTCCCTTTTCTTTATCTAGAGGAGAACTTGTTTTAGGTGGAGAATATGGCGGATATCTGATTTTTACTCCTCGAGAGGATGGTTTTGGTTCAATGGGTTTAGTATATGAAAGTGAAGGTTAAAAAAGATTTTCAAATGGAGGGAAATGAGGTGGTCTTACTAGAGGTCTAGGAAAAGATTTGGATTACACAGAAGGAGGTAATGGTTGAGGTTTCTTAATTGTCTTAAGATAGAATAAGACATTTTGAAAATCTTACTACAATCAAATTCTTTAGGGTAAGAGACGGGTGATGTTAGACAGGTAGGAATTTGGAAACTAGAGGGTATTGACGGATTGATCAAGAGAGTATAAGTACCCATATTGTTCTTCTTCTTAAGATAAGGATTTAGAGTCGATTTCTTCATTATCTATAAAAAAAAAAAGCACATATTGAGTTTCTCACTATTGCTCCAGACTTCAATATAAAACTTTCAAACTGACCACTCTTAGTAATGACAGTGTCATTCTCATTATTGCTCTAAACTTCAATATAAAACTTTTAGATCCAACCTTGATTGATAGATTGAAAGTCCAAATTCAAATATTCAAAGCAAATCAAGATTCCAGAGCTATTGTAGCAACTCTACATCATCAAATTATCTACAGACTTTAAAATCATGCTTTAGATCTTTACTTTCTTAACTCTCCAAAAGATGCTCTTTATGTTGTCTCAGAAAGAGCTAAGGATACCTCTATCATTCAGATCCCTAGACAAATACCTAAAGAAGAACTTGTTCAACTGATGCCATTTAAGTGGATCACTAATTATGAAAAACAGTTTCATGATGTCCAAAAGGAAGTACACATCTCTACATCTCCAACCTTGAGGAGACTCTCAAATGGTATGGTCAAATTCGTTTTTACCAGACCAGGTTGAGAAGGACCTTTTATTCTTTCTGGACATATTTTGTCAATCACTCCAGCCTATGTTCCATCCAAAAGAGATCATCCAAACACTTGGGTAGATCAAAATGCTAGACCTTGTTATGTATCTCACATAAATAGTTATTTTCTATGGGATCATGCACTAGATGAACCTTTTTGGTGGGAAACATCGAATGATAGAGATGAACCTGGATGGGCTTACCATATGAGATATATAGCAAAAAGCGGGGAGAGAAGACTTATGCATCCTCCTGTTCTCAAAAAAATTATAGATATCATCATGATGATTATGATCATGGCTCAAAACAAAATTGCAAAAAATGAAATTTTCCTATTTCTGTTGTTTCTTCTTATAAATTATCTCTGTATGATTTACTTAAAGAAAAAAGTTATGAAGATCTTTTTTCCAAGAAAAGCTCAGATTCAGTAATTCCTGTCATCCAACCACTTTCAAATCAACCCATTCCTTGTATTGAGATGATAGATCCTTATGATTAACAATTTCCACCTCTTGAGAGAAGAACCAACAAGGAGACGAAAGTCTCAACAAGACCTTTTTCTGTTTCTATAGAAGATCAATAGTAAAACCTCCCTTTTATGCCAAGCGGGATATTTTGTTTTTGAAAGAAATTATTAATTATATCTAAAAATCTTTATTATGTGGGAGTGAGCAAAACAGAACCATAACTGAAAACTGAACCAAATCAAATTCAATTTTGGTTTTTTTGTTAATTATTTGATTTTATTTTTTAACAATTCGGTTTTCCATGTTGAATTCAGTTATTAGACAATAAAGTTCAGGACCAAAAAACCAAAATACATATGTAATATATTTATATTTAATAAATATTGTTATAATAAGTATATATATGGTAGTATGTGAGCTTGAACGATGAGTTTAAGTATATTTATATTTAATAAATATTACTCCCTTAGATCTCAAATATAAGACCCATTACATTATAAAATGGGTCATTTAGCGCCGGAGGAGTATTATAATAAATGATATTAAATAATAAAATAGGATTAATGGTTGTAATTGTGTTTTATTATTATTTTTTTTGCCAATGGTTTTATCATGATTTTCTAATTTAAAATCACCTTTCACATTTATATATTTCACTTGACTGATTGACCGAATTAAAATATTTTAGTTAATTCGGTTTCTGTGAATTTGGTTAATTAATTTTGATTTTGTTTTTGAAATTGACTCTGTTCAGTTCTTTAATTATTTCAGTCATAATAAAAAATTAAACTGAAAAACCAAATATTCACCCCTGATGTTATGAGTTATATTTAGGGACAAAGAAAGCTAAAACTCGAAATATATCTCTTACTTAAAATAAAATTTACCCCCTCAAATTTTGGTTAATTTAGGTTCAAGTCTGTAAATTTTTTTTATTAAGAAATTAGTTTCTAATGATATGATTAACTTCAGTCAAAATTCCTATTAATAATTAATAATAGGCTAAATTATATTAGAATCCATTAAACTTTATGCTATATGTAAATAACTCGTTAATTTTTGAAACTTTATAGTAAACCTTGAACTTTTATATTTATGTTCTCATTTTCGTGTAACTCAAAATCTAAGGAAGTATATACGCACACAAAAATATAGTTTAAGAAAACATAGTTAACAAATTTAAGATTACGTTTGGTAGGAAGTATTGAAAATGAGAGATTAGGATTATGATTGCAATTGAGAAAATCTATTAAAAGAATGTTTAATATAAAAAATTGTTTATTATATGGGATTAGTCAAACCCATGAATGTGGGATTGGAGAATATCAGGGCAAAAAGTGATATTCCCCAATCTCATCTCCATGGGTTTGCCTAATCCCATATAACAAACAATTACTCATGCTAAGTATTATTTTAATGATTTTTTTCAATTATAATCTCAATCTCAATCCTTAATTTTCAAAGCTTCATACCAAACAGGACCTAAAAGTTTAGAGCGCTAAAGACCACTTTCCCGCAACTTCAGCTTATATATGAAACTATCTTCCGTCTTTAATACAAGAATTAATTGACTAATTTATTGCTAATCATATATATTAGTTAAAACTATCATTTGATGAAATTTTTAACATATGCAACTACTATAAAAACTACTTTGAAATAAATAAATAAAAGAAATAAAGTGGGTTAAAATTTTATATTTAGAATCAAATTGAAAATTAAACTAATTAGGAAATCTGAAAGAAGGCCAAAGGAATTCAAATTTTGGATCTCCAAATATAAAGAACTAATTTCTTCTATTATATTCAACACCTTTGGTTCTTTGGATGTTATGTTTTTACTTTTAATTAAAAGGAAAGCACTAACCGATAAATTATGAATGAAATCAAACCCGTGATCTCCTCTACAATATTATCATTTCTCCATCCCTTTCACATAAAATAAGAGACATACGGCTTCGAATTGGGTCCAAAGACGAATTACAGAGCTAGATCTGCACGAGCTGGGACTACAGGCACAAGAAAATTGCCAAAGGATGAATCAAAGATCTTGTAGTTCCCAGTGCAACCATCCGCTTGCGCCTGTGCAACAGCAAAGTTTTTGGCCTGTTGAACCCTCAAATTGGATCCACTTGTTTGAGCCACAGGAGCCTGAATATGACACATGAAATTTGGAATTGTACTACTAAACAGATCTAAATATAAGAACATTGAATATACCAATGCCACAAGCACAAACGGCCATAAACAGAGACAAACCTGCAATCCACCTGCTGGTATTGCAGCTTTGTCGTTCTTTTCATCCGATGAAGCTACATTCCTGTAAGTAACCAAGACGGATTCAGAATTTAGCCCCTTTTGTATTCTCATTCAGAATTTAAGGAGACAGAGAAATCCCATGGAACATCAACGGATCTTTGATTGAACTGATAGAAGTAAACATAAACGAGCGGTAAGCTGCAAGATGCAGAATTATGAACCAGAAATATGTATCAAATCGCTCTCAGTGACAATATGAAACGTTATTCTCTCTATCGAGCGGAACGAACCCACGACAAAATTGTATTTCTCACGAGAATCCACAAGGAGAACAAGTTCTCGAATTGCTCTCGTAAATTTGGAGACGAAGAAAGAGAGAGAGATTATAAAAGAAAAACAGAGAAAGAGAGAACCGGCGGAGACGTCATTGATTTACCGGCGAGGCGGCGGCCGATGATCAGTCTTCAATCTCTTGGATGCGGTCGCCATTGACCGTAGTTGTGGCTTTCTTTCTGGAATGGTCCAACGTATTTTTATTTTGTTCCCCTCGTTCCGCAAAGGGCCTCAACTGCGTGATGGATAAAAAGAAGAATAAATTAGGCCCATCTCTTCTGGGCCCATAAGCCCACTCTCAATCAAGGGAAATTTAATATGAAACGTTAACGAAATTAATAAAGAATTACCAAAATTTTTGTATACACTCGAATATTTTCTTCCTAGCTGGCATTCGTCTCATTTGCATCATCATCATTATTCTAATAAAATTTCAATTTTAATCATTTTCTTTTTCAGTGTTTTATTTTTATCATCTAGTCAAACGGCCCATACCTTATTTCGAAAGCAGAGACCAATAATTGGCGATGAAAGCTGGCTTGGATTTCTTCAAGGGCAATAAATAGAGATGAGAAGGACTCAAATTCAGGCCCAATTTCATTTCCCTTGAACTTTTGCGGTTTGCAGATTTTAAGTTAACTTCAAAAATTCATAATTTGTATTATGTGATTAATAAATAGATTTGATGGCTTGGTGTTCGTAAAGCATTTCAGTCATTTTACATCGAGGTACAATTTCATTTTTATTTTCAAAAGCTTCACTTAAATTTCAATGACCAAGAATTCAGCACCTTGGTTTGTTTCTACTTTTGAACTAGTATTGGGGTCAAATATACACAATAGTTAATTATTTTGATTTTAAATATAAGATATTAATCTATTTTAATTCTTAAATTTATAATTTTTTAAAATAATTTTTATTGATTGTACATATTCAAAAAATTTCATCAATAAAATAATTTCATTGCAAACTATTAAAAGAGATATCTTTGAAAAACTAACATATAATTGTTACAAATAATTAACTTAATTAATTTAATCAATCTCTAAATTAGTTAACTAATTATTATATTTAAAATCAAAGAGTATGCTGTGATCATAGTTTTTTTAATATCAAATTTTATAATCATAGTTGAATTTTATATCTTGTGCCTACTTTGCTTCCGCTCTATCAGTTGGCAGAGTACGATTGAAGATGCGGGGGATCAGAAACGGGAAAAAAAGTTACCCCTTTACCAAGAAAATGATGTCAATAAATTAGTGAGCAAGACTGTACGCATCACATCATATAAAGTCAAGCCCACATTTAAGTACCATTTCCGTATAAATATTCTCATGTCATGCTTGTCCATATGAATCCTCAAAATTCTCTCTCACATATAATTTTTTTCCCCTTTGAGAAGTAAGTCTTGGTAATCAACATAATATCTTAATTCATTCCATCCCTTATAAGAGTGTGTGTGTAAATACCCTATTATGTCCAGACCCACAAAAAAAAAAATAAATAAGAAATCAATAGAAAATAATACTAATAATAATAATAATATCCTTCTTGATTCTTTTTAAAATTCTTAAGTATGTATGTATGTAAACACCCTATTATAGTTTGCTATTTCCAAATTTTAAAATTCTTAAGTACTGCTTCCACCACCTAATTTCATAAGCTTTTAATTTGAAAAGGAGCGTGGTCTATTTTATAAGCTTCAATTTAAATTTATCTTAATATTTAATACATTTTTCCACACATTCTTTTTCATCCTTTGTCTCATTTATTACAATGGCATATTTGGAAACAAAACTATATTTCTAACCTATTTATTATTTTTAACTAATTGTAACTAATGGTTCATTATCCGTGAATTAATTATTTGAAACTTATAATAAGAACCGGAGTATTATCTTCTTTAAAAAATAATGTGTCATCTTATCTAAAATTTATATTAAGTTAAATTATTTTCAAATCATGAATAATATTATTTATTTTTAAAGCACAAAAGGCTGCACTATGATTCATTGAAAAATAAACAAAGCTCAAGAATCTCAAAATTTAGGCATATTTTTGCATAAAATATGAATTTTTTTTAAAAAAAGTAACATTGTGTACTATTTATAAATAATATAAGTTGCTATTAATTTTAAACATTATACATAAATAGAAATATGACAAATTTTAGATTTAAGCTTGAAAGCTTGCACAGGCATGGCTTAATATGCGTGTAACCCCATCATCATGCCATGTGGCGGATCTGACGTGGAAGCATTGAATTGTAGCGGGATGAGCCATTTGTTTGCTGATCTTATATGAATAGTGAGAAAATGAAATGAGTAAATAGATTAATTAAATTAGTTATTTGTAAAATATTTGTATTGGTTTCTTTTATAATATCTCTTTTAATCATTTGTATCATTCATAGAAATTCTTTTAATACGTCCAATTAATAAAGATAATTTGAAGACAATATTATTACCTCTTTGGTCTTTAATATGAAGGTTAATTGAGGGTTAAATTTGGTTCTAAATATAAGATTTTAATCTATTTTACTTCTTATTTTTCTCAAGATATCTCTATTAATTGTGAGAGGTTCCACCAAAGGGTATTCCAATGCATATATGACTAAAACAAAATAGTTTAGAGATGTCAACAAATATTTATGACTAATAACTAACTAAATTAATCTCCCCCTTATCCTTAAATTAGATATATAATTCTTATATTAAAGACTCGACGTAGTATAAATTTGGAGGACAAAATAAATGGAGATTATTATCTATTTAGGACTGAAACACACTTTTTAACTAACTCCTATATTTAAAACCGAACAGAGTATGTATAATTACACATACTTTTTTTGTGTGTATAATATTTGAATTTGAAAGTCCCGTCTTATTTCTAAAATAAGTAGAATTGTAATATCAACGATGATTATCAGTTATATTAAATATAAAATAAAAATTATAACAAGTTATATTAATTATTTACAGATTATCAAGGAAAAAAAAAACAAAACTGAATCAACCAATTCAACTAGAATCATGAACCAGCTAGTAGCCTGACCTAGTTAGAGTGCTGAACTGGCCAAAAGCTGAACTACTGCAAATTGATGTAAACCAATTTGGATAATTATATTGATGTTAGTCATACTTTTCCTTATTCGGCTCCTAATATATCAATCACTATGAATTTTAATGATAATTTTTATATCAATGATTATTAATTCTAGTTATTAAAAAATCATACATATCAAAATTCTCAATATTGTTGTATGTTATTATTGTTATCAAGCTATTATTATATTTCCTTATATTTTATAATTAGTGATTGTTAATGTTATTGTATTATGTTATTTTTAATTAAATGATATTATTTTAATTTGACCTGTTTGACTCTGAGAGTTTGAGTTGATCCTGATTTAACTCACTAACCCTTGAACCACTACCTCAACTAATTTAGTTTCTAGTCCGGTTTTTGTTCCTCACAAATTATGCATAGTGCAACCTATTTTTTCACATTTTATATAAGAAAGATGTATTTAATTTATGGGTAAAATGGTTGTCCTTGGGATTGGGTTTTATACCTTTAGCAAGGAGCAGATTTTCAAGAGATTATTTATCTAATTATGGTCAATCAGACATGATTATATTATACTAAAATCTAAAAATATATCCTTACATGTGAGTGGTGATTACCATGGGAGATGTTATTAAATAAACGGGATCTAGGAGTTGTACATGTACATGTACTCAAGGGCTCTATGATCATTTTATGAGCAAACTTATCTATCTTGAAAACCCTAATCCTTCACAAAGCTCTACGGACTAGTAAATTTTTCAAATGAAGATTTATCCCAGTTTTCTCAAAAATATTTAATGTGAAATAATATATTTTAAAATGTAGTACTACGTTCGGTCCTTAATATAAGACCCTGTTTGACTCTTATTTTGATCCTAAATATAAGATCCCAATCCACTTTGTCTCTCATATTTATACATTTTTTTCTCAAAGTAGGCCTTATAACAATAATAGTTATAGTCAATACACTTAATTAATAAGGATATTTTAGGAAATACAATACATATTTAGGATAAATAACTAACTCAACTTACTTTCTTAATCTCTTTAAATTAGTTAACTGACTCTTATAATTAGGACCGGAAGTAGTAGTACATTTTTCAAAGATTAGTTTTGTTATTTGATATGATTAGTGATAAATTCCTCATTAAAAAATTAATTAACAAATGGTTCCAAAAAGGCCTTTTGCGCCAGTCAGGATCCTCCACCCCCCCCCCAAACCGTCGACATCTTTTGTCTTTTTTGCGCGACGGAAATTTCTCGGATGCCCTCAGCTTCAACAGGGGCGTGCTCCTTCCCTATTCACTTTCAACAAACTCGCGGGCTTCGCTCATCTAAATATCCAACCAGTTAAAATTGATTAAAAAAAAAAAGTAAATATAAAAAAATATTTTAAAATATCATTATTTATGGAGAGTGTGAGTAAAAGAGAGAATAAGTAGAAAAACACAGATAAGAGAGACATACAGTTAATTTTAAAAAATATATTAAATATTTACACATTTTAAAGCGCGGCTTATACAATCCAATTAAAAAATTGAAAGTTTATATTTAAAAAAAAGATTGGAGAGAACATTGCAATCTAACAAACCATTTTCCAAAATACTTATATGCCTTAGTAGATTATATATTAATTTATAAATGAGACAATTAGTTTTAAAAAAAATAAATATACATACTTCAAAATTATTTTTTTACTTTTTTTCTAATCATTCCAAATTATTCAATTCTTAAGCATGGTTTAAAGACGGTTCACCTAAACTGTTTTTTTTTAATTATTAAATAATTCCCTATAATTTGATTCCACATGGGAGTGCTGAGATGAGATTCCATTCGATTCTCTATATCAGTGACAAATAATAGTATAAAAACTCCATGTCATCTTTCTTTTAAAGGATTTACTTTCTTTCTGCGCTTTTCCTGCCCCACTTGACTTTTTTAACGAACATGTGGGCTTCACTCATCTGGGGTTCGTTGTCATCAAACGAACTCCATGTCATCTTTCTTTAAAGGATTTACTTTCTTTCTGCACTTTTCCTGCCCCCACTTGACATTTTTTAGCAAACATGTGGGCTTCACTCATCCGG